ACCCGCCCACCTGAAGGGACCTTCCACCTTCACAGGCTGTGGTAGCTCCGACCAGGACTCCGACCCCAAGAAGATTTGGATTGGTGGTTTCAAGTCCCCCATACTCGCCAAAGTATGATCAGTTTCGTGGAGTCTAAAGTGATCCCCAAATTGCCATCTCACATCAAGCGTCCGACTCGTACCACCGCGCACAACCTCACCAAAATTTTCAGTGTGACCTTCGAGTCCGACGCAGACGCCAACGCCTTCGTGGAGCACGTCAAGACGGACGGTCTCCAGTTCGAGAGTGCAAAAGGGACCGCGCAGCTTCGTGCCCGTCGTGATCCCAGCGCCGACGTGCGGCGTCGCAGTATCGTCCTCGGCAGGGTGCGGCACGGCGTGTCGTAGCATTTTGCTTGCAAGAAGAACGGTGAAGGTATCGTAATGGGCGTCAGCGGGCACAAGGGCATTCTATGTTTCACCCAGAATTAGGAGGTCCACACACATTCTGTGCACGATGACTGACAGCCCCGACACGTCCGCCAATTGCGAGCCCACGTTCGAGAACTTTGCGCTCCGCGGCATGGAGAAGGACCAAGTTTCCTCGCTCATCAAGAGCGCCATCCAATAGCGCCCTTCGCCTTCGCCTTGCGCGCCCGACTCCGAGTTTGATCGATTTGGGTGCCCAGCCTCGTCATCTGCGCGGTCTTCAGTTTCTTCGGCCAAGCGGCGGTCAACATCAGCGTCCAGTTCCAGTCCTGGCCGTTTTTCCTCCTCGTTGTCTGCGTCCTCCGCTTCTTCCTCCTCATCCAGTTCCAGCTTGTCATCTCCGCTGCTTCCTGGAGCGAGGCTTCCTCGCTGTTCCGCCAAACCCTTTCACCCCAGCGCTGACTTCTCGATTGTCACTTGGAATGCCGGGTCTCTGTTTGCAAGACTCACTGCCAGTGATTTTATGCCGAGGCAGAAAACCCAACGGCTGCTTCGACTTATCCAGTCACGCGATGTCGTCTGTATCCAGGAGGCCCGTGGGACCCAACAAGAACTTGATCTGCTCGCGCAAGAATCCATTGAGTTTTTGGTGGGGGTACCTTCTTCGAAAACGGGTCTGCTGGAGGGGGTCTGATGTTTGCGCATCCTCGGCCGCGTGCGCTCTTTCACACCCCCTCTCATTATGTCACTGTTTCTGGCCGCATTCACTATATCATTATGCGCGATGTACGCGGCAGTGCTCAGATATGCTACATCCACATGGGTCCCAGCAAAACCATCGTGCAACAGACAGGTGAGTTAAGATTGGCGCGCAAGCACCTGCGCCGGGCAGACGCATGCACTTCTCTTCTCTGTGACGATCTGATTTTTCACGCCGAGGGGGAGGGGTCATATCATACCAGCGGGAATGCGAGGTACGGGGGCTGCAGTCGCGCTAGTTATTCCGACGCCCTGTTCTCAGATCTCGGCGACGTCGAGCACAATCGCTGCGCTCGCCGCGTCATGGGCGCTAGCGGCGAGAGTCCAGTTGCAGCGCCGCCTGGCAGATTGGACCGTCTCTATTCGAGCATTCCCAGCACCGCCCTGATATATTCCAAGCCCAACAGTGCCATCCCGTGGGTTTCCAATGTGAAGTGGCCTCTTTCAGATCGTGCTCCCGTTGCGGTACTTTTGCCTCGCGCCCGTTCTGGGGGACTTCGGATTCCCCCTCGGGTTCCCAGACGTGCTATGTACCCCCGTTTTCCCTTCAAGAGATTCTTGAAGAGGTTTGGCCCAGGGACTCCGGCCCGCGCATCGCTCTCGGGGAAATTAAAAACATCATCAAGGCTGCCGCCGAGAAAGTCATCGACTACACCCGCCCTGGAGGCCCCATGTCCGTGGAGGAGAAAGTCCACTGGGCCCATGCAGCACCTCGGGCTACCCATAAAGTGCCGAGAGTAAGTTAACGTCCTACCTGAGTGCATTGGGAACGAGGATGAGGAGGGTTACACTGTCTGGCGTGTCCGATCCGGCTGGTCAGCAAGTCGCTGTTCCTCGTGCTGCCGCCCGGCTGCTTGCCCAGCATTGGGGGCAAGTTTATGCCTTCGCGGAAGGCCAGCTTGTTCGCCCTGCTGAGCTACGGCCTTGTCTGCGACAAGTTCCCCCTCTCATGTTTTGGGGGATTGTATGCGAAGAATTTGGTGCCTCTGCGCGTGCTGCCAGAGATTCGCGTCCCGGCCCAGATGGGATGCCGCACTCTGCCTGGCGTCGAGGGGGCAATGGCGCCCTGGAAGTTTCATCCGAAACCCATTTGACCAAGGTCAGCTTTCCGATAAGTTCAACCGCGAAGCCGCTGTTTCTTGGCCTACAGGTGAACAACGGGGCGACGCTGACGAGTCTGCGCGTCGCGCCCCCTCGCAGACACGGCCTATCGCGCTTGGCAATTTCGACAATGAGCTTGTCCGGCACGCGGTCAATGCGCAAGCCGCCTGCGTCATCCAGGAGAGTTGTTCGGAAATCAAGCAGGGGTCCATTCCAGGGTGAAGTTTCACCGACAATGTTATCGCTTTGGGGTCCAGAGCCGTGGAATGGTTCATGCAGGACGGTCTGAGGCGCGCGGGCTTTGTCACGTTTGACATCGCGGCGGCCTTTCCGTCCCTCTTCCACGCCGCGATCATGTTCGCGCCGTGTGAAATGCCATTTCTCCGGGAACTTCATAAAGCAGCGGCTGCTCTTTATCGGGGCGTTTGGGCTTCTGCGTCCTTCCGTGGTCCGCAAGAGGAAGGGCGGCGGGCGCGGCGGGGGGTTAAACAAGGCCGTCCGCTTTCATCGTCTTTATTCGTTATATGCGCCGACCCAATCCGCCGCATGTTAGAGTCCAGGCTGATCGAGATGCCCTCTCTTCTGCGTGCCTGTGCCGACGACGTAGGCGCGGTTGCCCGAGACGTTTTCGTCACTCCATCTCCCCTGGCGCCTCTCTTTGGGTGCGCTGCGGGAGCGGTTGGGCTCGAGCTCCACCGTGGCAAGAGTGCGATCATCCAGCTGGTAGAGGCTCCAGAAAATGAGCTGCGTGCCGTTGCCCGCCAGGCTGGCCTACCAGGCGACTTCCCCATTGTGGAGGTCGCTGAGTGCTCGGGCATTGTCGTGGGACGTGGTGGGGATCGCATGTCTTTGGAAGTTCCTGCTCGTAAATGCCTCGAGAAAGCCCCTGAGATGAAAGCCCTTGGGTTGGGCCTGACCACAAGTGTTGCTACGTTCAACCAGAATGCTTTCAACTGTCTCTCCTACACCATGCAGTTCTACGCTCCGCCCAAGTCTGTCTTTCAGTCCGATGCCGCCGCTGGACGAGAGCTTGTGGGCGGTCCCAGGGACTCACTCAGCCCTGCCATGCTCGAGATTTGAAGCGAGCTCGGGATGCAATGCCAAGTGCGCCGCTTCGAGCTCGTATCGCGTGCAGCCCTGCACCGCTTTGCACGCAACTCGGTCGAATTCTGTCGGGTCAAAACCAGGGCCCAGGCCATGGCCGAGAGTGGCGAGTGTCCAACCGGCTGGCGACAGGAACCTCTTTGGCTGCACTCCTCCATTAGCGCCCTCATCGCGAATTTTGACCAGATCATTGGTACACCTAATGCACCCGTCCCTGGTAATCCTCGCATGCAGAACGTTACCGAGAAATGGTTCCGTCAGCAAAGCTCCATGGGGTATCGAGTTCCCATGCTCTATCGTATGACGAAGCTCTCTGGCTCTGGCACTGCTCCCAATCTGGCTCGTGTTATGATGGCTTTGGGGTGCCTTGAACAACTTGTACCTGGCTCCGCTGTTACCTCTGATTTAAAACGTGTTTCCAACGTCTGGTGCTGCTCTGCCCGCTTTTTCCGCGGTGACCCTGGGTCCGATCGGTTCACACACTATCTTGGATGCCGCCGTGTGCTTTCCAGCATGAACAACGTTATGGTTGCCTCTCCTCGCTTCTCCTCCCTTTTCTGGCGCTGAGAGGCCATCTACTTTCCCCTGGCCCTACGCTGGCGCTCCTGAGTTAGCCTCCAATGCCTTGTCTATTGATCTGGCCTTTCAGGGTTTCCACGACCTTCGATTTGCGATTCGGCACTCACCCCACAGGGAGGGCCTGCGGCTGTATCGGCTCGCCGCCACGAGGCTGACACAGCTTCGGCGGCGAGGGGTCCCGTGGGTAGGGTTGGTTGGGTGACCGGTCAACGTCGTCGTCGCCCCCCTGACGCGTGCGCTCCTGCTCCTCCTCGTCTCCCTTCTCTCCTCCTCCTCCTCCGCCTCCTGCTCCTCTTTTTTATCTCCCTTCTCCTCTTCCTCCTGGTCCTCCTCCTCCTGGCCCTCCTCGTCGTGCCCCCCCTCGCCCCACTCCTCGCCCTCGTCCTCCTCCCCGATCGGGGCGAGGCACGACTCAGGCTCTTGTGGGGCGTGCGCCCCCCGCGGGATCGGGCGCTCGCCGGCCCAGGCTGCTCCCCATCATGAAGTCCATCGAGCCCCTCGGAGGCTCGCCTTCCGCGCCCCCCCTTGCCACCTGCCGCATCCTCCTCCTCCTCCTCCTCCTCCTCCTCCTCCTCCTCCTCCTCCTCCTCCTCGGTGCTCCCCCTTTTCACCTACGTCCTCCTCCTCCTCCTCCTTCTTCTCCTCCTCCTCCTCCTCCTCCTCTTCCTCCTCCTCCGTTCCGTGCCTTCCGTAGCGGACTCCAGGGCCTGCTTCCGGATCTCCCCTAGGGGTCTCGAGAGTGCCCAGCTGTTGGACGCACTGATCTCCACGGCCTTATCCTTATCCTTATCGTCGTGCCTCCCCCTTTCCCTTCAGCCTCTACTCCTCAGTCTGCCTGTCCCTTCTCCCCTCCCCCCCTTCCGCCTTCCACCATACCATCCTTCTCCGTCCCTTCCGAGTGTGACGGCAACGACGACGACCACGACCTTGAAAACCACGAAGGCGGCAACGACGTCGACGACGGCGGAGATGGCGACATCAACTACATTTGGGCCCCGCGACTGCCACGGGTTCGATCGGTCGCAGGGGAGGCCGTGCGCGCCCGAGGCATGCTTGTCGTCCTGCTCTTCCTGCTGTTGGGTTTCGTTCAGGCCTTCTGGGCGATGGACAGGGAGCGCGCCGATGAGGCGACTGCGGCTGCCATCCTCCGTCTGATATTCCTCCCCCAACGCATGCTGGCGGGGCGGGGTTTTCCCTGCTTGAGACCTGCTCGGAGTTGGTTTGGCGATTTTGGGGGGAGTCTTGTGCTGGTCCCCTGTGGTGGAGCTCTTTGAGGGTTTCGGGACCCCCTGCCCGGGGTCAGAAGAAGATGGGTGGGTGGGCAACGGGACGGATTTGCTGCAGGCAGCTGGTTTCTGCCGCTGAGCCTGGCACTTTCCTCGATACGTGATCGCGCGATGTTGAACTGCCTTTCGTTCATCTCGGAGCGGTTTTGAGACGTCTCGAGCCAGGCTGACTTGGAACGGCCTCGCGGCCCTGCGCATTTTGTGGGCAAGTCTTGGGCCGTTCCAGGACGGTCTACGTCGGTTTCGGTCGGTCTTGAGGACGACCTTGGAGGGCCTCGGACAGATATCTCTGAAGGTAGGAGTGTAGTGTAAGGGGGTGTGGTTCTACTGTCAAGTCTGGCGATGTTGTGTATCGTCGGTCGCATTGCCAGTCCGCGATTGGCACCACACTCCTTTTTGCACCACTTTCCGACCTTCAGATGATCAGGGCATCCCACCCCAACACAACAACCATGCTCCTTAGTTTCGGGGCCGAGGTGTCCGGACTTTCCAGCGCGAGTGAGCTCTTGTAATGTGCAAGCCCATGCCAAGAAACACCGTGCTTGCCTCCAGGGAATTCTTGGTTCCTTCAGTTTCGATGACCTTGCGATTGAAAGCGCGACGCTCCCACGCCAAGCATCAAAGGACGTCCTGGGGTGTCAGGGCTGGGTTTGGAAGTTTTCTTGTGGGCGAGCCCCTACTGTATGGCTTGTAGCTAGCGGGCGTTGATCATCGGCACCTCCATCGCACCTCTCTGCTCATGCGTGCGGCCCGGGCAGGGGAGGGCTCAGACGAGTGTGGGCGTCGGGAGGCTGGGCATCGCTCGGGCGTGTGCACTTTCTCTAGGCGAGGACCATCGAGGAGCATCCCGGATCACCTCGCGAACGATAGACGCACGAAGCCGAAACATGCTCGGGCCCTGGACGTCCGAGCGATGGCGAGGAGGGCGAGCGTCGCTCGCGTCAGCCCCTCAGGGCTCGTGCCCGTGGCCCGCCTGCTGCCGCATCCTGGTCGGGGCCTGTGCGCCCCGGGGGCAGGAGCTGAGCGGGGGGTGCTCCCCGTGCGCAGGCGGTGCTCCGGTGAAGTGGGGGGTGCGTGTGGAGGAGCAGGGCTCCTCCGCCTCTCTCCCTCGCGATCCTCGATCCCCGATCGCCGCCAGAAAACGGCCAGCAGGGAGACGGCCTCGATCCTGGATCCTCGGTCGCCGCCGGGAAAGCATCAGCAGAACGACATGGGGGGTTGCTAAAGGCGCTCCTGGCCCAAGGTGCCCCCGGCTTTTCGCCCCACTTTGGGGCCCCTGGGGCCCCCTGAGCCTCGTGATGGGGCTCTCTGGAGGCCGCGGGGGCCTCCCTGGAAGCCCTGGGGGCGCCTTGGGCCAGGGGCACTCCTGGCAACGCTTGGAGCGATGCCCAGACATGCGACGCCCCGATTTTTTCCAATACGGGGTCCCTGGAAGTCCCGACCCTTTCCCTGGGACCGCTTTTTATCCTCAGTCGTTGTTGGACGGTCCCGAGGCCAGGCGAGAGGGCCTCCCTGGGCCGAAATTGGCCAGCAAATCTGCCGTCATGATTTTTTTCACGACGCGATCATGTCCGGGTGCCCCCCGGAAGAAGGAGGAAGGAGGCAGGAGAAAGGAGCAGGAAGGAGGAGAGGAGGAGACAGGAAGGAGCTTGGGGGAGGAGGAGGCCCTTCTGCCGTAGCCGTGCCTGCTCGGCCCATCTCCGACCGAGAGCGGCCGCGTCGACCCCGCGGCGGTGGCGCGCGGCCGTCGTCGGCACACGAAGGGGGGCCCGGCGGGGCTTCTTTTTGGTGCGGGAGGAGGAGGAGGAAGGAGGAAGGAGGAGGAGGAAGGAGGAGGAGGAAGGAGGAGGAAGGAGGAAGGAGGAGGAGGAAGGAAGGAGGAAGGAGGGAGGAGGAGGAGGAAAGGAGGGAGGAGGGAGGAGGAGGAGGAGGAGGAAGGAGGAGGAGGAGGAAGGAGGAGGATGAAGGAGGAGGAGGAGGAGGAGGAGGAGAGAGGTAGGAGGAGGGGCGGCGCGCTTGGCAACTTGTCTCGGCGAGGGCCCTCGAGGAGCATGTTGGGGCCATCTTGCCAACAGATACACGCGCGAAACCGAAAAGTGCACCAGGAATGCACGCCCATGCAATGGCAAGAGAGGGGGTCAGTGCGCGAGCGATCTACAATCAGGGTTGCAGGTCGCTCGCGCACTTCTGCTATCTGGGGCTCATTGGCGGACTGACGAGCCCCAGAGCGAAACGAGTTTCCGCGCGATATCGTTGTTGTGCACCTTGAGATTGCCACGTGAAGACAAACAATCAAGGGGAGGTATGGACGTCTTGGAAGGAGGCTGCTTCTTAGAAGGCGCCGGCCCCTCTGAAGACAAGGCCTGCGCCTTTTAGAAAGCAGGGGTGCTTCTGAGAAGCCTTCCCCCCTCCCCCTACCCCCCTTGTGCGCGCCTCCGACTGCATCGGGGTCGTTTCGGCCCTTGCCAGCTTTTCCAGCCGTGGCCAATTTCACCTCCATGATCCGTTGTGAATCAACCGCGTGCGCACTCTTACATGGAGAAAGCGTTGTGTGATCAAATGTTTGACTGTAGTTCATGGCGGCGAGGACGTACATACATCACGTTTTTCAGATGTCAGGAGGTGGGGAGACATGTGCGAGTACGAACAAAGTGTTGGCAGCCATCAGTGAGACATCTGTTGCCCTTAATAACTGGACGTTCTGATTTGCTCCTAAGCTACAAAGTGGTCAGCTTCTCATTATTCCTTGGTTCGTTCACATTTGGCCGTTCTTACTCCATTTGAGTTCGGGTGGAATGCAAGGGTGCACTCGAAGTGAAGGGATCGAGAGGCCCCCGGGGGATACACACATGTTACATGTATATATGAAATATGGATGTATGTACGTACGTATATCTATATCTATATACATGTGAGTCCTGGACTATTCCCCTACCCCGCAAACATGCACAGTCGTTCTTGGTGGGTCCGTGAATGCCCCCGCGGCTCTTGATATGTTCCAGAAAGGCGCTCTCTTCTATTATCCTCCCTCTTCCTCCTCCTCTCTCCGTCTATCTCTCTCTCTCTCTCTTCCTTTCGCTTGCTGTCTCTCTCTCTCTCTATGTATGTATATATATATATATACAGGTGTCTCTCTCTCTCTCTTCCCCCGTTTCTTCCTCACTCTTTGTTCCCGACTCCTCCCAGTCATAAGTTTTTTCTGGAGGCGGGTCGTTATAACCACTAGGAACAACACACACACAACAGCCTATAGAATTCCTGGGTAATCTGGTGCGGCAAGACCAAGGAAACACTCACACCAAGCACGCACGTTACACCAGACACACAATCAATCCTGGGGAACTTGCTGGTGCAGAGTAGGGAAAACACGAGGGACAACAGAGCACAACCAGGCACAACCCAAACGCAATCCTGGGGAACTTCCTGGCTGGGGGTGCGGGGTGAGGGAGGAATCCCCAATCACGTTTCCAGTTTTGATTGTGAGGAGTAGGAGGAGGAGGAGGTTAGTACGTGCCTTAGTTTTGCTCTCTGTGCGTGGTTGTTTTGAGCCTGCCTCCGACATGGAAGGAGGAGGAGGAGGACGAGAAGGAGGAGGAGGAGGAACAGGATGAGGAACAGGTGGAGGAGGAGGAAGAGGAGGATGAGGAGGGGAACGAGAAGGAGGAGAAGGAGGAGGAGGCAGCAGGCAGGGGAGAAGGAGGAGGGGCATAAGGAAAAGGACGAGGAGGAGGAGGAGGAGGAGGAGTACGGAGGAGGGAGGGAATATAGGGGAGGAGGAGGATGAGGAGAATGAGTGGAGCAGGAGAGGGAGGAGGGGGAAGGAGGAGGAAGAGAGGAGGAGGAGGAAGAGAGGAGGAGGAGAGGAGGAAGAGGAGGAGGAGGAGAGAAGGAGCGAATGGCAGCAGGAGAGGGATGAGGAAAAGGACGGAGGAGGAGGAAAGGGAGGAGGGAATGACGGGGAGGAGGAGGGAGAAGGAGGGATAGGAGGGGAGCAGGAGGGGAGGGGGGAGGAAAGGATGGGAGGAGGAGGGAGAGGAAGGGGGAGGAGGGACAGGAGGAGGAGGAAGGCGATCAAGCGCAGAGAAGAGAGGGAAACCGAGTGGAGGAGGGAGGAGGAGGGAGGAGAGAGGAGGAGGAGGAGGAGGAGGAGGAATAGTATGAGGAAGAGGAGTGCGGAATATGGGGAGAATAGGGGGGGGCGGAATGGAGTTGGAACGAGAATCTGTGTTACGCCGTTTTTCCCTCTCCCAACCGTGCGATATAACTTTGCCCCCTGGAGACTCGTTTTTTTTGGGGGGGGGGGCTCCATTAATAAAACGTATCCAGTGCGTCTCGGCCTTGTGGCGCGACCCTTCCGAGATCCAAGAGAGTCCAAGACGCACTGGATCTAGACATACAGTGGAAACCGATGCCAAGAAACACCCTGCATGCCTCCAGGGTGCCCTGAGTTTCTTGGGTTTCGATGGTTTTGCCATGGAAGCCGTGACGTCCCCACACCAAAAATCAATGTTCGCCCTGAGGTTCCAGGGTTGGGTTTCTTGTTGAAGGTTTCTTCTGGTTGGGCCCCTGCTGTAAATCTTGCCAGCGCCGTGAGCTGCCGCCGAGAGCCACCTGCACCCGAGAGGGCGCCGCCGAGAGGCCCGCCGGCCGCGAGGCCCTCGCGGCGCATAATATGCGCTGCGCCGGCGGCCTCCGCGTCGCGCCTGGCGCCGCCGCCGCGCCCCCGCACCTCGGGAGCTGCGGTGGAGCGCTCGTTAAGGAAAGTGCCCAGGAGGCTTCAGACCCTGGAGGATTCCTCGTCCAATGAGGGCGGCGGTGATATCCATGGCCAGTCCACGATTTGAGTTCCACCGGTTTCCTTGTCGGAGGTTTCCCTATATTCAATGCCACCGCCGTAGACATAAAAACTCGGAGGAAGGAAGCATGATGTCATCACACGAAGGGATCGGTTCGGTCCGGTCTGGTTCTGCAGCCGGTTCGGTTTTGCTCGGCCGGTTCGGTTTGGCACGAGTTCGGTTTCGGCTGGTTCGGTTTGGATATGGCTCCAGTTCGGTTCGGTTCGGTCACGGCCATCGGTTCTCGGTTCGGTCTGCCCCTTCATGCAAACATAAGAACTCGGAGGTCCGCGCGGATTTCTCGGATCGGCGCTGTGGTCCCCCCTGGCGGCGCCCCCGAAGCGCCGCTCCTGGCGCGCTCGGGGCCCAGCGCCGATCCGAGAAATCCCCGCGGAGCTCCGAGCTCTTCTGTCGATGTCGGTCTTCGTTCCCCCAGGAGCGGGCCCGCGCCGCGGGGCGCGCCGCCGGGGGCCTTCGGGGGCGCCGCGGGCCCGGCGCCAGGGGTCTTCGGGGGGCCCCCCTGCCCAGACTCCCTCGGGCAACGAACACCTCACGACGGGAGGTTTTCGCCATCTCCGGCCTCTGGGGGCCTTCACCGGGCCCCGGGACCGTCAGAAAACGACTCGGGACGAAAAACCGGTCCTGGGGAAAGGGTCGAGACTTCCGTGGACCGCGTATTGAAAAAATCCTGACATCGGATGTCTGGGTGTTTGGCTACACGTAAGAGCGACCCTTCGCCGAAATGGCCTTTGATGTGGGCCCATTGGGGTCCCGCGATCGCCGAGTGCTGTGTTTCGTAGTGGCGTCTGGCGCGCTCGTGTGTTCGTCCCCCGCGGCCCTCCAAAAGCCGGGCACCAAAGGTTACTTTTGCCCAGGGTGACTCTTGCGTGTAGCCGACCTGTCAGGGAGACAGCAATCGGGTTGGGAGGATGGCTCTGGCAGTGATGATCAGATCATTATCGCGTATGCCGAGTGCGACTATCACACTCAAAGGAGAACAGCAACGCCATAAACATCAACTTTTGGCGCTCCGCGCGGATTTCTCGCATCCACGCTGGGGCCTTCCCTGGCGGCGCCTCTGGCGCCACCCCTGGCGCGCTCCCCGCGGCAGGGAAGGTGGTCCAGCGCAGACGTAGGAAGTCCGCGCGGACAGGCGAACATTTATGTCTGTGGCGTTGTTTGTTCCTCCAGGTTGGTCGAGATGATCAGATCATCCGTACTATCGCGTATGTCGAGCTTGCTTATTGCACAGTCGTGCCCCATATCTTCCCCACCCCTTCCTCTTCACACGGTAGCTGCCTTTCTCACACCTGGGATATGCGCCAGTGTTGCCAAAGGGGATAGGGCGATGTCTCAGTGGTGGATGCAGAGGTTGGTCATATCTGGCTTGGCCTGGCTGTTAAGGTGGTCGCGGATGCCACGAGTGGCTCAGGGGGGTTCGATAACTCTGCTCACTGGGCGGAGCCCTCTTAACCCGGATCGCTGCCACCACAGCCATTTGGAGCTTGTGTAACCCGCTGGTAAACCAGGCTAGGCCAGATGTTACCCACCTCGACATCCACTGACAACCCCCAATCCCCTCAGCTCTCCCCGCGCCGATCCCAGCACACCCTCAGATCCTGGCGTTGCATTTTTCACAACGGGGGGTTCTGTTTTGTTTCGGGCCCTTTGACACTTTACCGGTCGGTCCGGCTGGAACAACTTGGAGAATGGAGGGTCGAGGTCTCCGATCATGCTGTTTTGTGATGTCGCAATTTTCTCGCAACGTTGGACCTCAGGGAACGATGTGGTGACCACACCGCGTGGTGAGTCCGTGGGGACCCGGGGTTACCGCATGGTTCTGGGACGTTCTGGGACGCGGGTCGTTCGTTCTATGGCGGCGTCTGGAGCGACTGGGGCCTCTGGGGGATTTCGAGGTCACCGCGCGGTCTGTCACCACACGGTTTTAGGACCCCCAAGGCCTGGGGATGCTGGCCGCGAAGCGCGCGGGCCTTTGGAGTTGCTCTTCGGAGGAGGGCGAGTGGAGACGACGGTCCTTCAGATTTTCTCGTCGCAGTTTTTTACACACCAGGCGTTTTCGCATAATTTCGTGCCCAGGTACCGTCACAGATCGACCCGGGCTCTGGTCGCGATGTCGTATGTTTTGCGCGGGGTTGATCTCACGGTAGTAGGCCTTCGGAGGGCCCCTCGTCGCCACGCGTGCGTTTCGACCCCAGGAGTGGTCCCGGAGCCGATTTTGAGCTGGCGTAGTCCCATCGAAGGATCTCAGCGAATCTCAGGAGGAGGAGGAGGAGGAGGAGGAGGAGGAGGAGGAGGAGGAGGAGGAGGAGGAGGGGGGGGGAGGAGGAGGAGGAGGAGGAGGAGGAGGAGGAGGAGAGGAGGAGGAGGAGGAGGAGAGGAGGACGAGGAGAGGAAGATGAGGAGGAGGAGGTGGTGGAGGAGGAGGAGGAGGAGCAGGAGCAGAGGAGGAGAGAGGAAGAGGAGGAGGAGGAGGAGGAGGAGGAGGGAGGAGGAGCAGGAGCAGGAGAGGAGGAGGGAGGAGGAAGGAGAAGAGGAGGAGGAGGAGGAGTGGAGGAGGATATGGAGGAGGAGGAGGAGAGGAGGAGAGGAGGGAGGAGGAGGAGTGAGAGGAGCTTACTTTCTCAGATCTCAGCGCGTTTTTCTTCCCCGCCGATCGGCGCACGCCCCCCCCTGGCGGCGCCTCCGCGCGCCCCCTGGCACGCCGCGCCTCCGCGCAGCCTCCTCCTCCTCCTCCTCCTCCTCCTCCTCCTCCCTCCTGCTCCTCCTCCTCCTCCTGCCTCCTCCTCCTCCTCCTCCTCCAGTCCTCCTCCTCCTCCTCCTCCTCCTCCTCTCCTCCTCCTCCTGCTTCCCTCCTCCTTCTCCTCCCCCTCCTCCTCCTTCCCCTCTTCCTCCTCCTCCTCCTCCTCCTTCTCCTCCTCCTCCTTCTCCTCCTCCTCCGACTCCTCCTCCTTTCAGAGAAGTCCTCCCGGACCTCCGAGAGCTTATTTTCCCTCAGATCCGACGTCTCGAAAACATGCGGCATCGTGTGTGGCCATTTGTGTGCGCCATCTTTCTGGCCCCATTTGCGTGCGCCAGCTTTCCAGGCGCAGCGATCGGGGAGGGTCCCTGGGCCCGAAATCCGGCAGGCACGCCAGGCCCGAACAAACGGAGACGCCAGCATCTCATGGGTCACAGTCGACCCGCATGGCCAGGATCGGCAACCTTCCCAAGGGTACCCTTGCATCCTTGCCTCCTCGGTCCAGCCTTGGCCCCTTTCGTTGGCCGCGCCCCGCTCGAGAAGCTCCGACATGGGTGCGCCCGAGGCCCTTGCACCCTTCTCGCGCAACTTGATGCTATGGGCCGATTTTGTGCAGCTGTGTTGTGTCCCTCTGCCCCATGTCCCATGTCGCCCTGCTCCGAGCTCCGGCCACCGCGGGCCTGGCAGGGCGGCGCGGGAGGCGCGCCGCGAGGCGCGCCGTCGGGCTGCCCGTCAGGGAGGCGCCGGCGGCCACGGCCGTGGCGGTCCCTGCCGCGGGGGCCAAGCCTGGCGGCGCGCGGGAGGGAGGGGGGGAGTCGTGGACGAGCCGAGGAGGCGGAGGCGGAACTGGACGAGGGGGAGGTGCCGAGGAGGCGTCGCGGAGGAGGAGGAGGAGGAGGAGGAGGAGGACGAGGAGGAGGAGGGCGACGAGGAGGGGTCGAGGAGGAGGTGGGGGAGCTGGCCGAGCCCCACTCCCCAGGGCAGGATTCCTCTTAGATCCTGGCGTCTTCATTTTTTCGAGCCGGACTTTTGTGCCCCTTTTCGGGCCCCCAGGGTCCTCACAGATGGACCCGTTTCGAGAGCTGGCTCAGAAGAATAGGGCCCATGATGCTGGTCGTTTTTTTCACGGTGCTGCAGTGATTTGCGGGGCGTTGGGTCTCAGGGTCAGTTGGAGCTGGCCGGGGGTCCGTGGTGGCCCAGCACGAGGTGGGGGGAGGGTTCGAGGCGCTGGGTTCGGGGAGGTATCTTGCCTTTTCGGCCTCCCAGGGCAGTTTCGGGCCCCAGGATTAGTCGGGCATGGCTCTCGATGTTCCGCTGGGGACGATTTATTTATCACTTGTTGCATTATCTTGTCTATTTGTTCTTCGTCTACAACCCGCCAGTAGGAGGACATGCCCGACCGATACAGCCCCAGGACCATCAGAAAATCCTGCCGGGGCGAATGCTGCCGATGGACCCTGGGAGGGGTCTGGGAACCGATTTCGTGCGGATTTGCCCTGCTCGCACGCCTCGGCAGATCTGCTCGGGGCCTATCCAGCTCAGAACCCTCTGACCGCCTCCGAGGGCTCAGCCCCCACGCGTCATGAGGAAATGCCGAGGAGGGCCTTCGGCAGTTTTCAGTCGCTGGGGCCCTTTGTGGTCTGGCCCCGGTGGCCGTCAGAGAACAAGCCGGATTGAGCGGCTTGTTCCAGAAATGTGGTCACGGGGTCGAGACCTCCAGGGGCCTACATTGGAAACAGACATGAGGGCGAGAGTTCAAGGGGAATGAAGAGTCAGGGGCGGCCTGACCGACCCCTAACAAACCATCCCCTTCCGTGACGTCCCCCCCGTCTAGCTCCAAGACGTATGCATGCGGCCAGAGGGAAGCTTGAAAGGCGAGGATGAAGCCACGAAAGGGGACGGTTTGCTAGGAGTCGGTCAGGCCGCGCCCGGGAGAGACAGAGTTTGCATTTCTTTCGGGTTTCTTGGGGGGCCTTCAACGCCACGGCTGGATCTCTGGGGCCCCCGAACGGAGTGGTGGCTTCACCGTGTGCTGGGTCAGTGGGGGATTCGGGGTCACCGCACGCTTTTTTTGAGGCTTGGGTTGTTCTCCGAGGATGCCTCCGACGACTGGGGCCTTCAGGGGTCTTAGGACAGTGTGATGACAGACCATGCGGTGAGGCCTTTCATTACCCACCAAACCACCCCAACCTGACCCCACCCGAAGGCCTCAGTTTACCTTTCATTTCCAGTGTGGCGGGTCGGGGAACATTGAGCAACCACATATGGAACCCGTACCGCCCCCAAGCCGAAGTTCGGGTCTTCGGGTTGGCTTGGGGTGGTCTGGTAGGTAGTCTTAGGTCGGGCATGTCCCCCATACAGGCGGATGTTGAGCGACAAATAAACAATAGTCAAAACATGTTCAAAAACAGTCAAAGATAGTAACAAAAATCGTCCCCCCACAATGTTGTTTTGACTATTTTTGAATATTGCTCCTGTAGAGGAACGTGCCCGACTTAAAGGTAGTCAGTCCTTCGGGATTGAGGGGTCACCGCGCGGCCCCGTCACGCCGCGGTCTTGGGGCTCCAGGCCAGTGGCTCCGCCCTTTGCGCTCTGGTCGGAGCGTGCCCCTTCGGGAGAGGTTCCCGGGAGTCGATATCTGCAGGGGGGGAGGGACCCCGCGAAGCAGGGGGCGGCCAGCCGAGGAGGCACGAGGGCCTCCTCGGGGGATGTCTCGGCCCGTTCTGCGACGCCTCCTGTATTTGCCTTTCTCGAGACGGGGTCGGAGGATCGCGCCGCATCGCCGATGCATCGTCGATGCGGCTCGACGCGGAGCCCGAGTTTCTTCATACCGATGGCGCCGATACGTCGCCGACATCGCGGATGCATCGCGGATGCATCGGCGATGCATCGCAGATGCATTGGCGATGTGGTGCAATTTTCCGACTCCATCTACTCGGACCCCATCTAGGAAGCCTCTAGCCGAGGGGGAAGGCTTCCCAGAAGCGTGCTGCGTCTTGGGCATGCCCGCCCCCTCTCGCCCTGGCTCCCTCCTGCGCGCCGCCGAGAAGCTGGCGGAGGAGGTGCGGCAGCAGCGGGCAGACCAGTACCGGCTGCTGCTCTTCAGCGTGCTCGTCCTCGCTTTCACGGACACGGACGGGGACCACATCCGGCTGCAGAGAGAAGGGCTTTCTGTGAACGAGTACGTCAACGGCAGGCTCGCGATACGCGATCTGCGGTATTTCGAGGTCTGCGCAGGTACCCGAGAGTATCGCGAGGATAGTTCAGGGATGGGGTATAACAGTGGGATCGATGGAAGAGGCTACTTCCGAGAAGGTGAGGATGTCCACGACTTGATCCGAATGCGAGACTTGTTGTTTATGCACCGCGAGTTTGTGGCCAAATGTTTGGCCGCGGTGTGTTTGCTGAAAGACTCTGAGGCCTATCAGGTCATGATGAGAGCACACTCGGAGGGCGTGGCTGTCGTTGGAACGTACTCCTTCGAATCAGCCGAAGCATATTGCCGGGGCCTCAGGTCCAAGGGCTTGAGCGTTGACATCGTCCCCGTCGATAACAATGAGTGACTGAATTCAGGAAGGAAAGACTTACAGAGACAATGAATCGTCGACGTCCAGGACCTTATAGAAAAATATGGGAAGGGGGGGAAGACGAAAACTCCGAACATATTGGAAACTACGGGGAATCCTAAGATTTGCGCCTATTCATTTGTATGTCCCTGTGCCCCTCTACCAATGTCGTTCCATCCGCTCGGCTTCAGCTGCGAAGAAGCTATTCATCACGAGGCCCACCAGTTGCCTCTAACCCCGTCGCCTCCGAAGGCCGAGGACAAGCGGCGCATTCTCCGCTGCCTCGCTGCCTTCTTGTTCCTTTCTGCCTCTGTCTATTCCCCCTCTGCCTCGTCCGTCTCTTCATCTCGCGCCCACGCCTCCAGTCGGCTGCACTGCGGTTTTTCTATGTACCCCATCGGTGTCAAGGTTATTGCACGATGTGTCTAGAGCACCAAAACAGGATGATCTGTGCGTTGTAGCCCCGTTGCCTTCCTCAGCCGCCTTGCAGCCAAGTGCTATTGGAATCGCAAAGCCGTGCGTTCGACATGTTCGAAACGGTTGCCAGCGTGAACCCCAAACAGTGAGCTCATGCACCCTGGATGTGTCACCTAAGAACGCAAGCCATGTGGTAAGATCTACACGGTGCAGGCTACATGATGCAACCTGAGTGTTGCAAGTTGTATGGCGCAATACTGACGGCTCACACTATGAGGTGCAAGCTATGCTGTGTAATCGAAGTAGTGCAGGCTATGGGACGCAGTCTTTGTGGTGCAGTCTATGCGACCCAGTCTAAGTGGTGAAAAAAGTTAGCCACGATTGAGATATCAACTCCACTGCTCGCGCAAACATCTCATCCTCCCACCCGCAGCGCGTTTGGCAGGACCCTTCCGGCCACGATTGCAGCTACTGGTCAGACCCCTGGAGACCAGGGCACAGATAAACCAGGACACGGAAAACCAAGGGGAAACGACACCCGTTCTTGCAAAGTCCAATTTTTCAGCACCCGTGCATTTTTGTTTGCTGCGCTGCAGGATTTGGGTTTGTGTCCGGGTTGAGGGAGTCTTGCAGGTCTTTAGGGCTTGTGTCCGTGTTTATTCCGGAAGTGTTGCAGTGCAGTATTTTGTCCGTGCCGCCGTTTGATGCATTCGGTTTCAAGGGATGTTGGGTGCCTGGGCCTAGAGTGTCCGGGTCTACGGGGCCCTGAATTGGTTGGAATTTGCTAGCGCATCCCTGCGGCCGCAGATAAGCGCACATGTTCATACGCAGATCGGCCAGCTGGTTTGGCACAGCTGATGCGGCCGCGATGGCCTTTACCGATGGGAACTTCCCAGCGCGTCTGAAAGGCAGCGCTGGCGCACGGGCACTTCGTGCGTGCCAGTGTCTTTGGCGAGCACGGTCTAATCATAGTTTGACGGCGGGCGGTGTCTCTTGCGGTGCGGTGTCTCTGACGGCAGCCACGATGATGATGATGATGATAACTAATAGCGATGGTCGGTGGCGATGATGACGACGACGTCGGCGGCAAGGCCAATGACGGCACCTATGCTGGTGACGATAAGAACGAGGATGACAATGCGTCTAAGATGAAGGTGATTGTGATGATGACGGCGGCGATTGGCGATGACGATAACGGCGTTAACACAAGGTCGCTGGTGCGGGTGATGATGAGGTGCGCGCTCGCGCAGAGCTCCAAGAATGCTTGCACATTCCTCGGTGAAAAACACGCGATTGCTTTTTCAAGGGTTCTATTTTGGCACGCTTTTGGAGCCGATCGTGTTGAAAGGATTTCGACACGCGCGCGTTGGGGCGCGCGCGTGTGCCTCGCATGGTTTTACTTAATACGGGCTCGTGCACGGTGCGCATGCTAGATCATTGCGGGTGCACCGCGTGGTGAGATGTGGAGAACGGGGGGTGCGGGTTGTGGGCAATCTCGCTTACACCCTATGTAAGTTTAACGGATGTGTTCAGCAAGTTGTTGCGGGCAGAACCTCGACGATATCAGTGGGGACAAACCCTTGCCATATCCCAGCAACGTGTTAACATGCTTGCCGCCGGCTTGGAAACGAAACACACAAACAACAATCATCGTCGACTCCCTGGAAATCATGTGCACATTTCGGAAGTGGGGAGGAAGACGAAAACCCAGAACATCCAGGACAAGTGGGAGAACCCTGGGATTTGTGCGCATTTATTTTTGTGCCCCAGGGCCCCTTTATTTGGGTGGGGGCGGGAACAAACAAAGAGCCGGCGCTGCCAGCGGGGTGCCGGCGGCCTTGGCAGCCTTGGACCTGCTCCTATGGACGGGCTCCGATTGCTGCGATATGGCTCCCGCAGCCCCCGAGTGGCCTCGCAATGATCTCCGCGGGGCCCCAAGGTTCCCAAAGAGGTCCCTCAGCGAAGGAAAGGTTACACATCTACCCTTCCTCGTCTTCCCCTTTGGGGGGCCTCCTGAGCGGACCTTGTCGCCACCGCTGGATTCGCCTTGAAATCCTGGTGGGACCCTGGGAGAAGCCCAGGGAGTAGCGGTATCGGTACCTTTTGGTTTGCCCTGTCCCTATGGCCTCGGAACAGCTGTGGAAGCTCGAAGATTTATCTAGAAAGCTGTAGGGCGACCCAGACGAAAGCCCCGACAAGCAAACATCGCCCCCTTCCAGTATGACAGCCATAATTTTCTGCACATTATCTTTTATTTTCCTGAGCGTCCAACACTGGCCTCATAGACCTTCACTATCGACCCAAGACGGGCCAAGAGGCCCCCAGGAGGGCCCCAAGACGGCTCCAGACGGGCCGGGGACGGCCCAAGAGGCGCCCCAAACAGCCCAAGAGGACCCCACGATGGGCCTAAGACAGCCTCCGATGGCCCCCAAACGGCCCAAGAGATGGGCCCCAAGACGGCCCAGCAGAGTCCCGAGATGCCCCCAAAAGAATCAAACGACCCCCCTCGATGCTCCCAAACGGCGGCCCCAAAGAGCGGCTTCAAACTGCCTCCAACAGATGGGTCTGGACCAGAGGCGAGAGGCCTCTCGCAGCCGGAAAAATGCAGCTCTTCACGCTCTCGGGACCCTGGATGCCTGTCTCCTGGGCGGCGTTGTCATAGGATCGGCGATTGACGATCGAAAACCGATGGGAGAGCACGAGAACACGATAAACGCCACAGTCATCTGGCAAAAGACGAGAAAACATGAGTTGACAGGAGGAGTCGGATGGCAGAGGGGAGGAAGCGAAGAAAGAAGCGGACGAGGGTAATCATAGCAACACATTAGTCGACTGCCGATGGCCAAGTATGATACAGCCATCCACGGGCCCTCAGGTGTCGACGGTGTGGCGTAAGCCAGTGAATTATGTTGACTTGCTTGCAGAGCCTGTGTGTTTGGTATGATTTCGGCATGTGCGCCCGTGTGGACTCTGTTGTACTCGTTGCATGGGTTTCTTGAGACATCCTCCTGAGACAGATCAGTGCGCACGCAGGGTACTATCTGACAGGGATGATGGGGAGTGGGCGATACCTGTTTGCTCGGGTTGGCGTGAATTCATGTGCACAATGCACGTTGAGGCAAGATCGAATTTCATTTGTGATGCGAAAGCGTTGACGGTTAAATTCGGGCCCAGAAAGGCGGTAGAGTTTTTTTTTTTTGTTTTTTTTTTCTCTCTCTCTCTCTCTCTCTCTCTCTCTCTCTCTCTCTCTTTAGAATACAGAAGATATGTTGTGTAGTATAAGTGGGGCAGTATATGTGGTGCATACTGCATGGTGCAATTAGAGGGGGAGTACTTGGGGTCGCTAGCCCCATTGCCCAATGACGAATCCGATCCACAACCGATTGGCAAATCTCAACCAGCGCACTGGCGCGATGACCTTTTTTAGCCAGTGGCGATGATAACGACGACGCAGACAACGACGAAGCCGATACTCATTTTGTTGGTGGCTGCGATGATGACGATGGCGACGATATCGACGGTGACCATGACGGCGATGAGAATGCCGGTTATTCCCCACATGCTTAGTGGGGTTATGGTTTTCTTCCTTCCCGCGTCGCACCCGCGTTCCTCCTCACCCCTCCTCATCCTTTCGGGGATGGACAGACCTCCGACCCTGACACGTCGATTACGGAATTGGCCGTTTTCGGTTCGCGAGAGGGCGTCGCGGCCGTCATTTTTGCGGGTTCAGGTCCGTCGGTTTCGGTCCCGGGCCGTTTTCACTAAGGGGAGGTCTACTATAGGGAGGTTTGTCCACCGCCGATCCTTCTCCCCCTCGCACAGCGCAGCACAGCGCAGCGCAGCACAGCACAGCACAGCTCAGCACAGTACAGCACACAGCACATTGACACACAGCACGTATACAGCACAGCTGAGAACAGCACAGCACTGCTCAGCACAGCTCAGCACACCTGAGAACAGCACAGCACAGCACAGCTCGTCTCAGCACAGCACAGCTCAGCACAGCACAGTACAGCACAGCACCTCCGCGCAGCACAACACAGCTCAGAACAGCACAGCACTGCACAGCACAGCACATCTTGACACCATTGGGTGTGCGCAGGGGGTGGTCTCTGAGCGCGGCCGCTACCCACGGCACTGCCGCAAAGCCTAGCAGGCGTAGCACCTTCTGGACACCATAAGGGACTGCGCAGGGGGTGGTCTCTCAGCGCGGCCGCTATCCACGACACGGTCGCAAAGCCTAGCAGGCGTGGCACCTTCTGGGCGCCATGGGGGGTGCACAGGCGGTGGTCTTTCAGCGCGGCCGCTATCCACAGCATTGTCGCAAAGCCTAGCAGGCGTGGTACTGTCTGTGCGCCATAGGGGGTGCGCAGGGGGTGGCCTCGTGGTCTCTCAGCGCGGCCGCTATCCACGACACGGTCGCAAAGCCAATCAGGCGTGGCACTTTGGGGACACCATCAGGGGGTGCGCACGGGGTGGTCTCTCAGCGCGGCCGTTATCCACGACACTGTCGCATAGCCTAGCAGGCGTGGCACTTTCTGGACACCATAGGGTGTGCGCAAGGGGTGGTCTCTCAGCGCGGCCGCCATCCACGACACTGTCGCAAAACCTAGCGGACGTGGCAGTTTCTGAGCACCATAGGGGGTGCGCAGGGGGTGGTCTCTCAGCGCGGCCGCCATCCACGACATTGTCGCAAAGCCCAGCAGGCGTAGCACCTTCTGGACGCCACAGGGGGTGCACAGGGGGTGGTCTCTCAACGCGGCCGCTATCAATGACACAGCCGCAAAGCCTGGCAGGCGTGGCACTTTCTGTGCGCCATAGGGGGTGCGCAGGGGGTGGTCTCTCAGCGCGGCCGCTATCCACGACACGGTCGCAAAGCCTAGCAGGCGTGGCACCTTTTGGGCGCCATGGGGGGTGCACAGGGGGTGGTCTTTCAGCGCGGCCGTTATCCACAACACTGTCGCAAAGCCTAGCAGGCGTGGCACTTCCTGGACACCATAGGGGGTGCGCAGGGGGGGTCTCTCAGCGCGGCGCTATTCATGACACGGTCGCAAAGCCTATCAGGCGTGGCATTTTGGGGACACCATCAGGGGGTGCGCAAGGGGTGGTCTCTCAGCGCGGCTGTTATCCACGACACTGCCGCAACGCTCAGCAGGCGTGGCACTTTCTGGACGCCACGGGGGGTGCGCAGGGGGTGCGGTCGCAATCCATCCATTTCGGGCTCGCAACGTGTGGAAGGCGTGGCACGTTCTCGATGCCACAGGGGGTGTGCTGGGGGTGCGGTCGCTATCCGTGTCACCCCCGCAAAGCGTAGCAGGCGTGACACATCTTCGACGCCACAGGGGGTGCGCTGGGGGTGCGGTCGCTATCCGTTTCGGGTTCGCAACGTGTGGCAGGCGTGGCGCTTTCTCGATGCTACAGGGGGGGGGCGCTGGGGGTGCGGTCGCTATCCGCTTCGGCTTCGCAAAGCGTGGCAGGCGTGGCATTTCCTCGACGCCACAGGGGGTGCGCGGGGGGTGCGGTCGCTATCCGTTCTGGGCCCGCAAATCGTGGCAGGCGTGGCAACTTCCCGACGCCGAAGGGAGGGTTGGGGGTGCGATCGCTATCCGTTTCGGGCCCGCAGAGCGCGCAAGCGTGGCATTTCCTCGATGCCACAGGGGGTGCGTTGGTGTGGCAGGCGCTGTATTTTCTCGACGCCACAGTGGGTGCCTTAGGGGTGCGGCCGCTATCCGATTTGGGCTCGCAAAGTGTGATGGGCGCGGCGCTTCTCCTCTCCACTCTCCTCCCTCCTCTCCTCTTGACTGGCGTCACCAAAGGTATCGGCGGGGCAACGGCCACCAACATCATTCTCACATGCTTCACTTCAGCTACCACCACCCCAGCCATACCATAAGTATGTGGGATTTTTCGGTGGCGTAATGATGAAGACGATGATGAAGTTGATGATGAGGATGATGGTGGCGATTGTGATGATGATGGTGCTGCTGATGATGCCGATGATGATGGCGATGCTGGTGGTGGTGATGGTTTGTTAGTGCTGGTGACGGCGAGAATGATGACGCTGGCGATGATGGCGGTTGTGCTGATGAGGATGGTGGGGAAATTCGAGCGCAGACACCATGACATTTGACCTAGGGAAACAATTTGTCTTCTTCATGGGATGCCCCAGGGCACCTCTACCAATGACACGCGTTGGGATTCATGCGGGTGGTTTTTATTTGACATCGGGCGCGGCGCGCGCGTGCGGCCCCGCATGTAGGCAAAGGACAGCTGGCAAAGGACAGCCAATCGTTTGGTTTCGATGTTTGCTGGCGCGCGCACGGAATGCTGGCGACGCATTGTATTGATTGGCATCGTTTGAGCATGCGAGGTCGAACCAGTGGGTTTCGAAGGGTTTGGACATGTGTTGGTGTGTGTGTGTGTGCGTGCGTGTGGCCCGCATGGCTGCATCTGATACGCAGTCATTGGAGATGTCTGTGTGGGGTCAGAGGGGGTGCTCTGGTTGTCGTTGTGTGACAGGGACGACTGGGGGCGATGCGGGAACTGGTGGGGATGCTACGAAGTTGCATTAAAAGACGGACGGTCGTGACAGCTGGTGGAGTTGGGCCGTTCAGTCTGGCCTCGGGATGGGGGTGGTGCGATCTGGTGCTCTTAATGCCAGAGGGTCTAGGGGTCCAAATAACGTGGCGCAATTTTTCACCACCCACCATACCACCCCAGCCCAACACGAAGGCCCCAATTTGCCCTCCATTCCCAGTGTATGTGGGGGGTGGGGGTGGGGAACATGGAAACACACATCTGAAGCCCGTACCCCTTCCCAACTCGGAATTCGGGTCTTCGGGTTTGGTTGGGGTGGTTTGGTGGGTGGTTAACATGGTGACAGGCCACCCGGTGAGGTCTCTCGGGATTGAAAGGTCGCCGCACGGTCCCGTCACGGCACGGCTTTGGGACCCCGGTGGCTCTGCCCTGGGGCGCCCAGGGCAGAACGCATCTCCGGGAGGCGGGATTCTGTAGTGCGGGGGACCCCGCGCAGGGGGGCGGCCCTCCGAGGAGGCACCGAGGGCCTTCTCGGAGGAGGTCGGCCCGTTCTGCCAGCAATTTTTTGCGTTGAGTCGGGCATGTCCCTCTACAGGGCGAATGTTCAAGATAGTCAAAACATGATATGGCGACGATTTTTCAATTATTCTTCGTCTCTTTTTGAATCTTAAATGTCAGTGGTTCATTTGTCGTCCAACATCCGCCTGTAGGGGGACATGCCCGACCTATTTTTAGCGTGGGCAGCCGCGCGTGATCGCCTCAGTCCGCGCACGAGGCGGCGACGAGGCAGCGACGGGCGGGCACCGGGGCGAAGTTCAGCAGGCGAAGCTGGCGCACGGCGCGGTGACGAGGCGGCGGCGTGTTGCTCTTCCATTCCGCCCCTTCCTCCTCCTCCTCCTCCTCCTCCTCCTCCTCCTCCTCCTCCTCCTCCTCCTCCTCCTCCTCCTCCTCCTCCTCCTCCTCCCCCCTCCTCCTCTCCTCCTCCTCCTCCTCCTCCTCCTCCCATGAGGCACGGTGCGCTCCTCCTCCTCCTCCTCCTCCTCCTCCTCCCCACTGTCTCCTCGCAGCTGGAAGGCACGGCCCCCGCGCGGCGAGATCGGAGACAGGGCCCGGCCCTCGTGACCGCACCTACCAGGGCAAGACTGGGAGCTGCACTGTGTAAGCGCTGCTGGGGGAGTCCTCCTCCTGCCCGCGGTCCTCCCGCCTCCTCGCCACCCCGCCGCCATCCGCAGCAAACCTTCGAAGAACTCGTGAGTTTGGCGCTGCGCTTTTCAGCCCTGGCCCAGTGGGCCTGGTCGGACACTGACCTTGGATCGCGTCTCGTTCTCTGTACCTGCGGGCCTGAGACCTCGAACTTTGCGTGGGACCTGCTGGCCCGTTTTTGAGTTGGTTTTGTGTGCTCACACTGTAACCGTGGTTGAACGATGACAAATCAGCCGTCCTCGAAAGAGGCGCGCACGGTAGGTCGCTCATTGTCAAGTGCAAGTTGGCTGTGTGTTTGTCGTTCGATTTAGTTCGACCTTCGGCCCGACACCGATTCGCCGCCGCCGGCTCCTCCTCCTCCTCCTCCTCCTCTTCCACGGTGATCGGACTCTAACCGGCTTGGAGTGCCTCCTCCTCTTCCTGCCCGAATCCTCCTTCGGTGGGACTCCTGCGTGCCCTGCCCGTCACCGGGGCCTTGCCCGTCGCTGCCCGCGCCGTGGTCGGTGTGTGCGCCTGCAGGAGGTCCCGTGGCTCGCGCGCACAGAGGGCATGCCGCAGAGCAGCACGCGTGGAGCAGCACCTCTGGGGGTCGGCGGCGCCCCGAGGGCAGCGGTGATGGCCGTCCACGGTCTCGTAGCGTTTCACCTCAGCGCTGGCTTTGCAATCGCCTTGCGCCCTTCACTTTCGCAGGTGATCCTGTGGGAGGTCGTTATCTTCCTTTTCGCGGGCGAGAGCATGATCGACAAGAACGAGGACTCTGGCAACGACGTCGAGGACGCGGCTTCTGTGCAAAAAAAATGTCTCTCTGGCCGAGCACGCTGGGACGCTCTGGCATCGCTCTCCCCCTCCGTCTCTGCCGCCACATCCTGGCCCTCCTCATCCTGTCCCGGCTCCCTCCTGCTCTCGGGAACGAGGGCTCGGGGCGGCGTGGCTCTGGGCGGCCGCAGGGGGGACTGCGCGAGCGGGGAAATCCCCCGCCGGACCGCGAGCGAAACGCGCTGCCAGCGTGGCATCACGGTGTTCCTCTCGATGCTGGGCCTGCTGGTCTTCTTCGGCCGCACCCTGAGCGCCCGCCGACCACCACGATCGGCGATTTCGGGCCGGTCGCAGCGGCCGGCTCCTGTGATCTCTGACTCCGTGCTCCCTCCCGACCTCCGGCGTCGTGCTTCTCTGTCCGCAGCGTGTCTCCTTGGAGCTCTCGACCCACTGATCGGGGCTTGTCTTTCGTCACGGACCGTGCTTGAATGGTCCTGGTGGCCCTCCTCCTTCGGTCCTCCGCGCGGCCGCGCTCGTCCTCTTCCCTTCTCCTGCACGCCAGCCCACTCGCCACTCGGTTGCCCCGAATCGCCACCCGCTGGAGCAGCTTCTCTGCCTCGCCGCTGACGAAACAGGTGTCTGCATGGTCCGGGCGCCCAGACGGGGCCTCCAGAGGCCCCAGCCGGGCCCTGGCCGCATTGTTCTCTCTCCACGACGCTGGGGTCTGGGTCGGGCCCGGCGCCCATCGGAAGAGACCGGCGTCTCCCCAGAGGCATCCGAGAAGGCCTCTCTGGCGGGGGGGCTCCTGGAGAGGAGGGCATCCCGAGCAGGGTGCCCACCCCACGCTCTGCCGCCCTCCCCCTCCCCCGTGCGCGTCGCCACCCCAGGTTTCGGGAGGTCACGGGAGTTCTCGGCGGCGAAATCCGAACCCAAATTACCCTCGTCGATCAACGATTCAAGCAAGTCGATGGGCGGCGGGGGTAGGGTTCGGAGCTCGTCGAACACGTGGCGAAGTCCGAACCCTACCCCCAGGCTCCCTCGATTGAGGAGCACACAGGCGAGACGCTGAAAGAAAGACCATCTTGGGGTCAGGGAAGGTTCTGGTTTTCGGGCCGCTCCTGAGGTCTAGCTCGGGGAACCTGTTCTTGGTCGAGGCTCGCTATAATAACCAGAAGCGACCCTCTGTTCCTCCTGGTAGCACCATGACTGTAGAGTGTTGATGGGGAGAGGATGCGGATGACGCCACCTACAGTGGAGACCCATGCCAAGAAACACCCTGCTTGCCTCCAGGCTGCCCTGGGTTTCTCGGGTTTCGATGGTGTTGCGATGGAGAGCGCGACGTTCCCAAACCAAAAATCAATGGACGTTCTAGGGTCTCAGGGTTGGGTTTCTTGTGGAAGGTTTCTTGTGCTCGGAACTCCACTGTACCCATGCCCTGCCGAACCCTCTCCCCCTTGCGCGCCGCCACCCGAGGTTTCGGGAGGGCACGGGAGTTTTCCAGACCCGGGCACTCTCGCGGTGTCAAGCAATCATGACGCGAGGTGCTCGGCAGGCTGTTCGGCCGTTGGAGGTCCTCACCCGCGGGCCCCGGGACCGTCACGGGACCGTCGCAGGACGAGTCGGGAGGAGGGGCCGGTCCCCGGGGGGGGGTCCAGACTTCTGGGGCGCCGCGCCGTGAAGAGAACCACGACGCCGGACGTCTGGGGAGTTCTTGGGAGGCTTTCGGAGGTCTCCGACTACCTTCGGAGGCCCCAGAGCTGAACCTAAGGCGTCCAGCAACCTCGGGCCTCGGTCCGCGAACGTCGAGGGAGGAGGAGATCATCTTGGTCATGCTGCCACGCGATCAGGTTTTTGGAGGTGGCTGGTAGTCACCGGAGGTTCTAGGAAGGAGGAGGAGGAGAAGGAGGAGGAGGAGGAGGAGGAGGAGAGGACCTCAATCGGAGACGTGGTCCGATCGTGCGGTCGGGGGAGTCGGGGTCCGGCGGTCCGGCCCGCGGGTCCGAGGCTGTACCCTGAACATCTTCATAGCCGTGCTGGGGGACCTGTACGACCAGGAGTCGGCGCGGGCGGCCGGTAGTCCTGGATCGGGTCGGCGCAGGGAGGGGGCCCAGGGGCGGAGGGGGGTGCCGTCCTCCGTCTTCCATGGGTGGCACAAGGACTATGAGGAGCAGGCGGAGAGCAACGGGTCGTCGTTGATGGTGATGATGAGGAGGAGGAGGAGGAGGAGGAGAAGGAGGAGGAGGAGGAGGAGGAGGAGGAGCACGTGGAGGAGAAGGAGGAGGAGGAGTTGGAGGAGGAGGAGGACGTGAGGATGATGATGAGGAGGAAGAGTCAAGTTCGCCGGGTCGAGCGCGTCAGAGGCCCCCCCCCATTCCCACCCCTCCCTGCCCTGTCACCACTTGATATCGGGATTGGATCGCATTCCCACCTCGCGAACGGAAGGCGCTCGCGCGCGGCTCCGCTTCGGACGACGTGGCGAAGGAAAAACGAAGTACGTGTGACGCGCAGTGGCGGGAGCGGCAAAGCTTGCGATGGGCGCGGCGAAAATGAAGCAAGCGCCGCGCTGACACAGCACTACCACTTCATTTTCAAGCTGCGCGGCGCTTGGACGAGATCGATATTTCGCCTGCTCTCGCGCTGCCCCGCTGCCGCTGTCGCTTTCATACGATTCGACGAACGAACTATGCGCCCGCGCCCGCGCGGGAACGTCACTTCCGAGCAACATGAGCACGAAGCTTGGGCGAGGGCGACAAATCGCCCACTCGCGAGGGCCCCCCAACATTGACGAGTGACAAGTATGTGACGTGTCGAGACGGGAGTGCGCGTCGACGCAGTTGCGTGCGACAAATGAGGCACGTACTCCGCGCACAAGCGGGAATTCAATTCTAAATGAGCGCGGCTCCAATGCGTGAGCGACATTTCGGCTTCACGCGCGGGATGTGCGCCCCGTCCCATTCCTGCCGCGAATGTGCAACATAGGCGACATATTGTCTATGTGCAGGCGTAAGTGACATCGTGTTGTTTGTCGTTGGTCTCACGCACGCGCAGGCTGTGGGACAGAGTCGGAGTATATACGAACACGGCATCAGGGGACGAGGCGGATGAGGAGGAGGAGCAGGAACAGGAGCAGGAACAGGAGCAGGAGCAGGAGCAGGAGCAGGAGGGCGAGGAGGAGGACCAGGAGAAGAAGGAGGAGGGAGAGGAGGAGGACGAGGAGGAGAAGGAGGAGGAGGAGGAGGAGGCGGAGGAGGGGGGAGGAAGGGGAAGACGCCACACGACGAAGAAAAGCATCGCGAAGCAGGTGAAGAACACCGAGACGAGGCTTTGTACCCTCCAGGGGGTCTGGTGACGGGGCCCTTCCCGCCGCGCCGAGCTGCAAGGACACCGCCCTACGCCGACACACCCGAGACGCTCAACGATAGTGGGGCCATGTGGAACTTCAGCCCGCCACGAGCCAGGGAGGCGTGATGTATGAGCCTCGCCTGCGACAGGGCCCCTGGGCCACCACGTGGACATGCAACGCGAGGAAGGAACCTTACCGACGACCCCAAGCCGCAGCTCAGCCCAGCGAGCGTGGAGAGGCCGAACGACGGTCGGAGGACAGAACGAGGAACGCCCATATCATCATCCAAACTGCCACGAGAGAGATTGATACACATGCCACGCGCCACAACCGAGGCCGTTCGCCGCCGTACCGTGAGAAACCACACGGTACAACCCCGCAGACGCGCAGCAAACAGGCACGAGGAGGAGGAGGAGGAGGAGGAAGAGGAATAATAATAATAATGATAATAAAAATAATAATAATAAGAAGAATAATAATAATAAGAAGAAGAATATTAATAATAATAATAATAATAAGAATAATAATAAGAAGAAGAAGAAGATGAGGAGGAGGAGGAGGAAGAGGAGGATGGAGGATGATTCCCCGTGACCTCGGGTATGGGGGCGCGTTCCCGCCGCCCGGCGGCGAGGAGCACGAGCGCGCGGTGTGCACCTTCCTGAAGGCCAGGGCGGCTGGGCCCCCGGGGGTCGGCCGGGCGGGCGGTAATGTGCGCCCCTGCTCCCGCTCCTCCATTTTCCCTCCTCCATCCTCTTGCCTGCCAGATCCCACCTCCTCCATCCTTCCCCCTCCTCCTCCCTCCTCCCTCTTCTAGCCGTCTCGGCGCGAGCCGTTGCGAGAGCGCTCGTGCTCGCTCCAACATGCTTCGAAGCGGCATGAGGGCGCGGGCCAATGGGTCTACATCTTCCGCGCTGGCCAAGTGGGTGTTGCCGTCCGATGTCCTCCCAGGACTTCTTCTGCCCTTCGGGTGGTGCGGAAAGTGCGGGGTCCACGATGACTTGACCAGCAGGATCAAGCGCCAGATTTGCAGGGGACACGCTCCGCAACTGGTTGTGCAGGCAGCGAAGGATGCCGCCAATCGGTTCAATTTGGATCGGGCGGCAGGAGGAGGATCTCAGTCTGGGCGCGCGCCATGTGGAGGAGCCTCTTCTGACCAGAACCAGGCGACGAAGATCGCCGCCATGCAAAGCACAGGTCGGCCAGCTCTTGGGCAACCAGCCCGCTCACCAGTTCCACCCGAAGCAGCAGCCGCAGTCGGCAGACGAACAGAGAACTCATGCCATGATATCCAAACCAATCGAAATCGGCATGCGGCGGCAGCGCACAGCCGTAACAGACAGAACAGGCCACTGTAACCACCCGCTCGTGCGAGCGAGCCTGCTCGGCGACTTCTGCAACGCTGGGCACATCCCCTTTCCCTCCCCTCACCCATCCCCTCCGTCCCCTCTCACAACTGCCCCTGATGAGTACTCTCCCCACGACGGCGTCCGAGGTTTCGGCCGCCGTTCTGGGCGAGGCCTTTCTGTGCACCTCGGGCCAATGCTCCCCCCCCGAACCCTCGCCACCAATATCTTTGTCACAGCGTGGACCCCCTCACGGAGGGCTCAACCCTTTCCCCAGAACTGGGTTCTTCATCCCGAATCGGGGAAGCCATGACCCAGGTCAATGCACACCCAGGTCAGTCGGGCCTTGCAGGATCCTGCAATATCCTGCAGGATTCTACAAGATCTTGCGCGATTCTACACCCAAGCCTGGGTCAGTGCACCCGTGGCTCTGCAGGATATTGCAAGATCCGGCGCTCTCACTGACCCACGTTTGCACTGACCCCCGTCTCTCGAGCCCCGACCGATCGCTCTTTGACGGTCCTGGGGCCCAACGCGGGCCCCCAGAGGTCGAACACGTAGAAAAACCGTCCTTCTGAGAAGGCCTTCTCCTTCTCACTTCCCCCCCCTCGTTCGCCGCCGAAGCCTAGACATGCGACGTCCTGATGTTTTCAGTGCGGCGCCCCCGGAAGTCCCGACCCTTTCCCTGGGACCGGTGTTTCATTCTGAGTCGTTGTCCCGAGGCCCTTGCCGCGAGGCCGAACTTGGCCAAAAACCTCCCGTCTGGATTTTGTTCGCGCTGATGTCGTGTCTGGGAACGCGCCCTCGCGCGCCAGGAGAGGGCCAAGATCTGCTTCACCCTTCGCATGCGGCCGGAGTGGCGGTGCCGGGGTCTGTCGGAGCGGATGCCCAGGCGCCGCGGCGGCACCCAGGGCCACGGGAGAGGGGGGGACAAAGAGGGCGGTCGGGAGGGCGGGGGGGACAATAGCGGGAGGAGGAGGAGGATGAGGAGGAGGCGGAGGAGGAGGAGGAGAAGGAGGAGGAGCAGGAGGAGGAGGAGGAGGAGGAGGAGCAGGAGAAGGCGAAGGAGCAGGATAAGCAGGAAGGGCCAGCACCGATGAGCCACGGGAGCAGCACCAGCAGGAGTTGCAGGAGGGGATGGGAGGGGCAGGCAGTGGATACCCTGACTCCCGACTTCGTGATCTGTTCTTAGCGTGGCTTCCCAGAGAGCTGCACGTCTGGGACCGGCTTCTCGTCCTAAGCGTCGGGCCTGTCCCTTTACAGGCGGAATATTCAAGAATAGTCAAGCAAGTATGGTGACGATTTATCGATCAGTTTCGATTACTTTTTGCTATGTGTTACATTTGTCATCCAACACCCGCCTGTACGAGGACATGCCCGATTTAATCATAAGCTGTTATTCGACGGCCTGGGGCCCGGCAGAGGCCACTCCAGAGGCCCAGGGCTGCCGAGAACCTTTCGGCGTGATCTTGTGGTGGCGCGAGGATGTCCGTTCTCGGGCCATAGCCTGGGTCTCCGACGGCCGTTCGGGACGATTCGGGCACCCCAGGATCGCTCTTGGCGAGGCGCATCTGCTGGAGAGCATCTCGAGACTGGAAAGGCATCGAAGACCAACGAGAGCGCTCGAAAACCTCGAACCTCGAAACCTCCCAGGCAACAGCCCCGAAAAACGCAAGAAAACGTTTCAAATCGTCGAAGGCGTAAGAAAAAGTTTGACATCGCCCCGTCGTGATGTTCTGTCCTGACGCTAGGGCGTCACACGGAGCGGGGGGGGGTCAGCATTGTTTCCCGTGCCCGCCAGGCCATGGCATCGCAGCCCTACCAGCCCACCCCTACAGAAGGTGATCGTTTTCTTATTTCGGCGCGGGCCCTCGCGCCCCCCTCCCCGCCATGGATTTGATCTTGGCTTTTTTGGGCGCCTGTTTCGAGCAGGTGGGGTCTCCCCCACAGGACGCACTGCTGCAAACAGTCGCGTTAAGCAGAGGCCCGGAGCCAGACCCCCTTCTCTCCCCCCCCTTCCGCCCAATGTCGAGACGCCGAAGAAGACAACGTTCACATGCGGATAGGTTCCACGAGACCCGAAGGGAGCAGCAGATACCCTCATTTACCCTGGCCATTCGAGACTGGAGTTTTCCAGTCGCGACCGGCGGGATCTGTCGCTGCCGATTGTTGTTTAAAGTCCAGAATCGGTCGCGCTCGGTCGCAACCGATTTTGGAAGCGGTCGCCGACCGAACACAAAATTCTGGTACCCGACGGTCTGGGCAGGGGAATACGTCGGCCAGTGGCGCCAAGGCCGCGCCAGTTGGGATGGGGGTCAGCTCAACGAGCCCCTCACGCGGGGAGCGGCGCGCGGAGCGGGCGGTGCCATGAGCTCTCAGGCTCGTGGTGCCCTTCCTGCTCGTGGCGACGTACGGCCTCCTGCTCTATCCGGCCAGGGCCGCGGTGCCGATCTCCGCCGTGCCCCCCCCCCCCTCCTGCCTACCGCTGTGCGCCTCCTCCTCCTCCTCCTCCTCCTCCTCCTCCTCCTCCTGCGTATCGCTGTGCCTCCTCCTGACGCTGGCGCTAGTGTCGTGTCATCTCCTCCTCCTGACGCTGGCGCTGCTGGCTCTAGTGTCGTGTCATCTCCTCCTCCTCCTCCTCCTCCTCCTCCTCCTCCTCCTCCTCCTCCTCCTCCTCCTCCTCCTCCCTCCCCCTCTTCGTCCTCATCCTGCATCCCCCCTCTGCGCAATGGGACGGGATGAGAGGGACGGATAGGATGTCAAGTCAGATGTGGCGCGAGCGCACCCAGCTTGCCTCTCGTCCTTTCTCTCCGCTCCTCCTCCCTCCTCCCCAGCGTGCAATCCTCTGCCTCTCGCTGTAGCGCAGCTTCGCTGTGGTGCTATAGTTACAGCGCTCGCCGACGAGGCCGTCAGCCGTCACGCGAAGAAATCATCATCTACCTTCTGCTCGTCATTCCCAACCATCCTGTGGTGTTGGGTCCTCGTTTTGAAGAGACGGTGCCCCGCGCCTCCTCTCCTTCCTCCTCTGCCCCCTCCTCCCTCCTCCCCCTCCGCGTCAGCCACACCCACTTCGGCACACCCCTCACACGTTTCGTGGCCCAACCAGGAGCTCCACCGAGGGCTCCAGTGGCTACGTTCGCATGGCGGCACCGCGCCCATTTCGGCACACCCCTCACACGCTTCGTGGCCCCATAGGGAGCTCCACCGAGGGCCCCAGTGGCTGCGTTCGCATGGCGGCACCGCACCCATTTCGGCACACCCCTCACACGCTTCGTGGCCCCATAGGGAGCTCCACCGAAGGCCCCAGTGGCTGCGTTCGCATGGCGGCACCGCACCCATTTCGGCACACCCCTCACACGTTTCGTGGCCCCATAGGGAGCTCCACCGAAGGCCCCAATGGCTGCGTTCGCATGGCGGCACCGCACTCATTTCGGCACAGCCTTGACACGTTTCGTGGCCCCATAGGGAGCTCCACCGAGGGCTCCAGTGGCTGCGTTCGCATGGTGGCACCGCGCCCATTTCGGCACACCCCTCACACGATTCGTGGCCGCATAGGGAGCTCCACCGAAGGCCCCAATGGCTGCGTTCGCATGGCGGCACCGCACGGGCACATCCCTCACACGCTTCGTGGCCCCATAGGGAGCTCCACCGAGGGCCCCAGTGGCTGCGTTCGCATGACGGCACCGCACCCATTTCGGCACACCCCTCACACGTTTCGTGGCCCCTTAGGGAGCTCCACCGAGGGCCCCAGTGGCTGCGTTCGCATGGCGGCACCGCACACATTTCGGCACACCCCTCACACGTTTCGTGGCCCCATAGGAAGCTCCACCGAAGGCCCCAGTGGCTGCGTTCGCATGGCGGCACCGCACCCATGTCGGCACACCCCTCACACGTTTCGTGGCCCCTGAGGGAGCTCCACCGAGGGCCCCCGTGGCTGCGTTCGCATGGCGGCACCGCACCCATTTCGGCACACCCCTCACACGTATCTTGGCCCCATAGGGAGCTCCACCGAGGGCTCCAGTGGCTGCGTTCGCATGGCGGCACCGCGCCCATTTCGGCACACCCCTCACACGTTTCGTGGCTCCATAGGGAGCTCCACCGAGGGCCCCAGCGGCTGCGTTCGCATGGCGGCACCGCAACCATTTCGGCACACCCCTCACACGCTTCGTGGCCCCATAGGGAGCTCCACCGAGGGCCCCACTGGCTGCGTTCGCATGGCGGCACCGCACCCATGTCGGCACACCCCTCACACGTTTCGTGGCCCCATAGGGAGCTCCACGGGAAGCCCCAATGGCTGCGTTCGCATGGCGGCACCGCGCTCATTTCGGCACACCCCTCACACGCGTCGTGGCCCCATAGGGAGCTCCACCGAGGGCTCCAGTGGCTGCGTTCGCATGGCGGCACACACCCCTCACACGTTTCTTGGCCCCATAGGGAGCTCCACCGAGGGCCCCCGTGGCTGCGTCCGCATGGCGGCACCGCACCCATTTCGGCACACCCCTCACACGTTTCGTGGCCCCATAGGGAGCTCCACCGAGGCCCCAGTGGCTGCGTTCGCATGGCGGCACCGCACCATTTCGGCACACCCCTCACACGCTTCGTGGCCCCATGGGGAGCTCCACCGAGGGCTCCAGTGGCTGCGTTCGCATGGCGGCACCGCGCCCATTTCGGCACACCCCTCACACGTTTCTTGGCCCCATAGGGAGCTCCACCGAGGGCCCCCGTGGCTGCGTCCGCATGGCGGCACCGCGCTCATTTCGGCACACCTCTCACACGCTTCGTGGCCCCATAGGGAGCTCCACCGAGGGCCCCAGTGGCTGCGTTCGCATGGCGGCACCGCAACCATTTCGGCACACCCCTCACACGCTTCGTGGCCCCATAGGGAGCTCAACCGAGGGCTCCAGTGGCTGCGTTCGCATGGCGGCACCGCGCCCATCTCGGCGCACCCCTCACACGTTTCGTGGCCCATTAGGGAGTTCCCTCTCATTCGTTCAACCTGCTTTGCGGTACTCGTAACTGCATATGGTTGGGCCCATCGCCAGGATAATTTGTTTCTCTAAGGCAGGCCGTGGGGCCGCGGGGGCCCACGAAGCGTCAGGCAGCTCTGCTGGGGCGCGGGCATGGGACAGACAGAGGAGCCTCGCGGCACAGAACAGGAGGCAGCAAGATGCAGGGGCCCAGGAGCACACAATCAAATACACAAGTCCAAGGACACCCTATATTTTCTTATACTTTCTGGATGTTTGCCTTCCCTCCTCCTTCCATATTTTTGGGAATCGAACATTCATTGTGTCTGCACGTTTTTCCCATCCTGACAAGAATGGACGCAAGAGGGCGGTCGGGAGAGTGCGAAGCCTGAGCGCGGGCTGAGCAGGGTCGTGGGGCCTATCGCGGGCCAGTGGAGCTCGCGGCTGGTCAGTGAGGCCCCTGCCCGTCCTCCTCCTCCCCATCCCCCCGACCACTCTACGCCCCTCCTCTTCCCGCGGGGGCAGGCGCCCCTGTTCCCCCTCCCCCCCGTCGAGGAGCAGGGAGGGGGGGAGGGAAGGAGGGCGGGGTGGGGGACGGGGTGGGGCTGGAGGAGATCGTCGTCGTCGACGTTGTAGCGTTCGTCTTCGCATTCGTCGCCGTAGTCTCTGTATCCGGTCTCGTAATCGTCATCGTATTCGTCGTCGTCGTCGTCGCGGTAGCGGTCGTCCTCGTAGTCGTTGTCATGTTCGTTGAGTGTTTCTCGTCGTCGTCATTGTCCCCTTCGTCGTCGCCGCTGTCGTCGTCCTTCCCGCGGGAGGCAGGAATTCAGGAAGGAGGGAGGAAGTTGGAGCCGGCTGGGGGTCTGAGGTGGCCCAGCCATTGGTTCAGGCCAGCAGGAAGAGGGGGAGGTTCGAGGTGCTGGGTTCGGGAAGGCGTTTGCCATTGTCGGCCTCCGAGGGTCGTTTTCGAGCCCTGGGACCGTCGCAAACGGATTCGTGGTGAAAAACTGCACCAGATGGATCGCGCGAGGCTTCTGGGGACCGATTTTGATTGGATTGGCCCGTGTCCACCGTCTGGACAGACTTTTTGAAGGCCCATCCAGCTCAGACTCTCCAGCCGCCTCCAAGAAGGCAGGAGGCACGCAACCAATCCGATCGAGTCAATGCTCGGCCCATAGGTAGTCGGGCGCGGCTGGGTGAAATCTCGAGCATCAGTGTTTGCGCCCCAGTGGGAACAATTAGAAAGCATCCTGCACTCGGGAAGGCCATTGTCTACGAGGGAGGTCTTTAATCTCTCCGGTCCTCCCCCACCCAAAGCCCTTGCCTGGCAATATACTCTGCGAGCTCCACTTCGCCCTGTCCGTATCCTTCCTCCTCCTCCTCCCCTTTCCTCTCTTCTTCCTTCTCCTCCTTTTCCTCCTCCTCCTCCTCCTCTTATCATATTCCTGTTGCTCCTCCTTATCTTGATCCTCTTCTCCCCCTCCTCCTCCTCGCTCAGAATGTTTTTCCACTTTAATTCGACGTGCTGGGTGTTGTTTGTTGCTTTTTTCCCGAGGCAGGTAACACCCGCTGGGATACCCGGCACAAGAGAAATCGCCCATGCTTGCTTGGACAACGTTGATAATACAAGACCGGATCCTTCCCGTCGGGTCGATATTGCGTAGCCCCAGTAGCGTTCGTAGTAGTCGTAGTAGTAGTCGTAGTAGTAGTAGTAGTAGTAGTAGTAGTAGTAGTAGTAGTAGTAGTAGTAGTTGTAGTAGTAGTCGTAGTCGTAGTCGTAGTAGTAGTAGTAGTAGTAGTAGTAGTAGTAGTAGTAGTAGTAGTAGTAGTAGTAATAGTAGCGCTGGTAGTAGTAGTCGTCTTGTTGTAGTAGCAGTGGTCGAACGCGTCGGCGCTGTCGTCGTAGTAGTCGTAGTAGTAGTTGTGGTACTAGGTAGTAGTAGTAGTAGTAGTAGTAGTAGTAGTAGTAGTAGTAGTAGTAGTAGTAGTAGTAGTTGTAGTAGTAGTCGTAGTAGTAGTAGTCGTAGTCCTAGCCGTAGCCCGTAGTAGTAGTAGTAGTAGTAGTAGTAGTAGTAGTAGTAGTAGTAGTCGTAGTAGTAGTAGTAGTGTAGCAGTAGTAGTAGTCGTAGTAGTAGTAGTAGTAGTAGTAGTAGTAGTAGTAGTAGTAGTAGTAGCAACAGTAGTAGTAGTATTAGTAGTAGTATTAGTAGTAGTAGTAGTAGTAGTCGTCGTAGTTGTTGTAGTGGTCGTAGTAGTAGTAGTAGTCGTCGTAGTAGTTGTAGTAGTAGTCGTAGTCGTAGTAGTAGTCGTAGTAGTAGTAGTAGTAGTAGTAGTAGTAGTATACTCGTCGTAGGAGCAGAAGTAGTGGTAGTAGTAGTAGTAGTAGTACTTGCTTCCGTGGTGGGACTAGTCGTAGTAGTAGTAGTAGTAGTAGGAGTAGTCGTAGTAGTAGTC